TGTACAGGCCCCGCCTCTAGGCCGTTTCCCCTCGGTGGGGTCTCAGTGCCCTGTTGAGGCGCCCACCTTGTGGTACTTGGAGTGCAACCGGAGCAGGTAGTAGACGAGACCTTGATAGACTGCGAGTGAATTCTCGCTGTGGAAGCCCGAGGGATTCAGGACCATCGGGGGCCGAGCCAGGTAGCGCTCCTGGCGCGTGTAGGCCTGCGGGTTCGGCAGGTTCCCCAGGCGCATCACCTCGAACGGGCATAAGTTGCTGAAGGAGAGCGTCGGATGACTCCTGGGCAGCAGTGTGTGGGAGGGGACAGCTGACTCTTCCACTCTCAGCGTCCCAGGAGCCTCCCCAGATCTAATCCAGCCCCGACCTTCTCCTCGGCTTCAGTTCCTCTCACCCAGAGGCCTCTTGGCTGTCCCTTCATCCCTCAGACCAAAGGACCCTCCCCTCTACGGTTCTCTGTGGTTAGTCCCACTTGTCTGACAGTAGACCTTCTGTTTATTGCATTCCTGTTGCCTCCTGAGCCCCTCCCACATAGCCCTACCCCACCCCCACTCCCACCTCCAGCCGCCTCCCTGGGTTCCTGTGACCCACCCTCTGCAGGTGACTAGAAGGATCATTAGGAAACGTGGTAAAATCTGGCTCTGCATCCCACCGTTGGCCCATCCATGGCTCCCCAAGACCCTCAAGATGAAGTTCCTAAGAACACCAGGCTCCCCTTGTCCCCGCCCTCCCACCACCCCCATATCCCTACTGTGCTCTTTCTGGCCAGGACTTTATCTGGGTTCTTGAACACCCAAACCTCTTTCCTCCTCAGGCCTTTGATGGTTGTCTCCCCAGGCCCCATGGAGCACCCTTCTCCATCTGTCACCTGGCTAATTCCTCCTCAGCCTTCAGGTCACACAGCCCATGCATCTCCTTCTGAAGCCTTCCTGGGTGCACCTCCCCCCAGGCTGGGTCCTGCTCCTCCTTTGAGCTTCCAGGTATCTGTACCATGGCTCCCCCATCGCAGCCCAGGGTCATCACTGGGATGGCTTCAGTCCCACCCCGGGATGGGCGCGCTCAGCCCGCGGTGTGGTCCAGGCCTTCTCACCCATCGCGCACCGTGTGGATCTGCTTGTGCTGCTCGTACATCAGCAGCTTCTCCATGGGCACCAGCCTCTTGACCAGTTGGTCCTGTTTGCCGTGTGTAAGGTATACCAGCTGCGGAGACAAGGTGGTCAGGCAGACTGGCGTCAGCCCCCTGTACCCCCCCTGCACCCCCACAAAAGGCCTGCTGGCACCTGGTACAGCTTGTTCTCTTCATAGAAGAGGGTGACCATGGTCTCCTTGGAGGCATACAAGGAGGACTGCTTCATCACCTGCAGGCTGACGTGGATGTCCCAGCCGTGGGATGGGAAGATCCTGTACAGGTGGTAGGTGCCCTCCAGGAGGTACCAGATCTGAGGGTCCAGCAGCGAGGTGTGTGTGCAGGGCACAGGGACCTCCTGCCCTATCTCTCCCTCTGGCCAGTGTATGAGGAGTAAGGCATGGAGCTCACCTCCAGGTGACAGGGACCACAGTACCTTCTCTGTAGTGCCATCTCTCTACTTTTGGAGGCCAAGCCCCTGTGTGCAGCCCACCCCCCCTGCCATGACCCCGTTTTTCACTGTTTCGGCCTACTTGAGTTTCTTTTACTTGCAACTGAAGCATTCCTAATACGTACGCCCCTTAAGACAGGGTTCCTGCCTTCTCACTCTTGGCAGCTTCCAGGGTCTCACCAGTCCCTGGACCTCAGTTTCCCATTTCTACACTGATGGACGCTGCTCTACACACATCTGATTCCAGACCTCCCCTTCCTGAGCTTCAGCTGGGGGATCCCCTCCATGAAACCCTCCCTGGTACGCACACCAGATGGGGTCAGGCTCTCTGGTGCTATTTTCCCCCTGACCACACAGAGTTGTCACTGTCTGGGTACAGGCCTGTATTCCCCAGTGAACAGTGATCCTCTGAGGACAGGGCCCAGGGCTGACCTGGTCACCATTGTGTCCCTAACACTAGTCAGTTAAGTGCTTAATATTTATGGAACGAACAACTACACCATGGAATGAAAGTGGCTTCCCCTGGAAATGAGATCATTGCATGGGTCTTTCACTCTTCTGTGTGACTTTAGAAGATTCCTAGTCTAAGTTCCAGGGGTCTAAGGCTAGAGATGTGACTCAGCGGGGGAGCCCTTGCCAAACCCCAGTACCCCAAACACCAACGTATGTATAAGTTCTAGGATTCCCAGTTATAGATGGAGCTTCTCCTGTCCTTCCTGAGGTTCCCCGAGGGCGGAGGGTCTGGGGGCGGGCAGAGAGGGAGCAGAGAGAGGGGCAAAGCAGCCCACCTCTTCAGTCTCCGTGACAATAGCTACATCCCCTCGGAATGAATTGACCATGTACTTGATGGATGACTCTTTGGGGAAGTCCGCCAGGTAGATGAAGTTTTCTGCATTGTAGCTGCAGGGGATAGACATGGGGAACTCAGGGCACCGTGACAGCTGGGTGTCCTGGACACCTGCTTCCCCTGTTCCACGTCTGATACAACATAGGCCCCACGGACTCCATTTCTCCACTAGTCTTATGAACAAGTAAAAAGGGAGCCTGGAATTCTAACTTCTGTCCCTACCTCATATCCCCAAGGTAACCTTCTGCCCTCAAAATCTCCATCTCCCCATCTCTTCCGGGTGGGTAGATGGGAAGAGTTCTAAAGTGTCCCCAGAAAATAATTTTCTATTGCTCACATATATTGGGTCTTTTCATAAGATTTCATTTTAAAAAAGGGTTCCCAGGGTTGGGGTTGTAGCTCAGAGACAAAGTGCTTGGCTAGCAGGCATCAGACACCACTGACCACACACACACACACATACACACACAGCTCCGCCCACCCTACCCCCCCCCCCCCCCCCCCCCCGGGCTCTCCCATCCCTGTTTTCCTCATCCCCATCCTGATCATGTTTGCATTTGGCCTCCTTTGAAGGCTTGGTGATTTCAGAAAGAGCCCTCCCCTTAGTGAGGCTGAGCAGGGAGGGCATGTCTGGGCCACACGGGGGTGACGGGGCGGGGGGTGACGGGGCGGGGGGTGACGGGGGCCTACCTCTGCAGGAGGAAGTTGCCCCAGATGAATAGCAGGTTGTTGTACAAGTTAAAGGACAAGCCCTTGGGGATCATGGGAGTGTTAGTATAAGACTCTGTCTCGAGGATCATCAGGAACTCTAAGCCCCGTGCTGAGCAAAGCAGAGAAAGAGGACAGCAGGGAGTCGGGTAGCCGGGGGCCCCTTCTGGCCACCCCTCCCTGGAAGTCACCCCTGCTTTCCCCTCCTACCATCAGGGATGAACAGTGGTACGGTATAGAGGATGGTCATCTCCTCAGTGACTATAGGTGGGGAAAATACAGTAAAATCTGAGAGGCCAAGCTTTCAAAACCTGAAGTGAAGCAAACCATCAACTTCCTGACTCCTCAGAAAATCCTTCCCATTGGCTTCCCACTTGGACCTGAATTTCTTAACCTGAACTATAAAAGGGTCCTGCCTCTGAAAGGATACAGTTCTGTTAGGGTGCAGGGCTTGTGGTTGGGGATTTTGCAGTGCACAGCCTGTACAACTCTATTTGGTAGCCCTGTTCTTACTGCCGGTAAAATCAAATCAAATCTTTTTTTTTTTTTTTTCCATACTGAGGATTGAACCCAGGGGTTCTTAACCACTGAGCCACATCCCCAGTCCTTTTTTACATTTTATTTAGAGACAGGGTCTCCCTGAGTTGCTTAGGGCCTTGCTAAGTTGCTGAGGCTGGTTTTGACCTTGCAATCCTCCGGCCTCAGCCTCTCGAACTGCTGGGATTACCCAAATCTTCTTGTGGAGCAAGAGGCCTTTCCAGATCTGGCTTCTGCTTACCTCTCCAGTCTGGGTCCCTGTCTGCTCCCCTATTCCAGCCACACTGGCTTCCTCTGAGTGTCTTCAGCCCACTCAGTCTCTACTCTGCTCTCCACTGCAGACTTATCTAGCAACACTGCCCTTCTGTTGGGGGGGGGGCATTCGATCCCTCGGGAGGGGCATGCAATCCACAATCTGGGCTCCAGATCCTCGCCACCCCTCTTCCCCAGCCCATCACCCTGGTACTCAGGTCGTAGCTGGCCAGCTGGTGATATTTCTGATCTGAATCGTCATACTGGGTCTCCACCAGCATCATCAGAATGTTCTGCCCCGGGATGAAGATGGCCCAGGTTATGGAGCATCTGTCAACTGGGAGGGGAGGGGAGGGTCCCACTGGGTCAGCTCCATTTCTGCGATGCCATGTCCCTCCACATAACGCTCCACCCATCCCCAAGACGTTGCCTGTCCTTTCCGTGACCCCCCTCCCCTTCCTTCCTCTCCCACAGCCTCAGGCCCTGCCCTCCTGCCACTGGCCCAACAGAGAGATGAATACCGAACATCCTTTTGCACGCGGTCTGATTCCTGGGCAGCAACTCAAAAGACACCAGGCCATCTGTGGAGGAAGTTCGGGGCCACACACAGGCCCTTCTGGTTCCACCAGCTCCACCTGGCACCTCACCAAACCAACCCCCCCCTGCTGTCTCCACTGCTTCTGCCCCCTACCCTTGGATTCCAGGGAGCAGGCCTCACCCTCTGGACCTCCCAAGTGGTCTATCAGAATATGGATCCATCAGGTCATGGGATTGACCAAACCTTATCTGTACAAATGTATAACCAACCCCCCTTGCCACACGCACACACGCAAGCATGCGCGCGCGCGCACACACACACACACGGACAAATACACACACAGCCTGGAACCGGTCCTGAGGGCACACAGTGAGTAACAAGGGCCTGAAGTGAGAGGGCCCCAGGAGGTCTCTGGGGCTTCCAGAGGCCCCCAGCCTTACCTGTGATGGTCCCGAAGTGGAGATAGCCCTCATGCTTGCCAGTGGTCAGGGCTATGACGTGGTCAGAACCATTGCTACTGAAATACACGGGGCACAGCTTCTTGATACACTCGCTGGCCAGGACACGAACCCATTTGCCTAGGGGTACAAGCATGAGGTCTCAGGCCCAGGCGGCTGTACCTGGTGCCTGGGACCCCCATCCTCATTCTGCTGGTCTGGTGAGACCTGTTCTCTGGCTGGGATACCTGTTCAGTGTGGTGTTGGGGGGGCCTTGGCAGTGGCACCAGTTATCTTTGGGAAAACCTCCTTTGCTTGTCCTCTATCCCTCAAGTCCAGATTGAGGAGACCTCTCTCTTGGACTGTCCTGGCGAGAGCAATTGGTTCTGAACTGGGTATGTGACGAAGGTGGGAAAAATCAGACTATTCCACCTTGTAACCAAGAGATGTTCTTCTGGGGTCACTGAGGAACATAAAAGTAGACAACTGCTAGCATCACCATGGCATCCACAAGAAGAGACTGGCTGGCAGTAACAAGCCCCTGGATCCAACTATTCCTGAAACCAACCAACCATCAGCTATGTAAGCCAATACACACCCATTTTCTTTGGCTTAAGATGATTTTAATTTGGTTCCTCTCACTGTCAAAGGACCCTAAGAACTGGGTGCAGTGGTGTACACCTGTAACCCCAGGGCCTCAGGTGGCTGAGTCAGGAGGATTACAATATAGAGGCCAGCCTCAGCAACTTAGTGAGATCCTAACTCTGAATAAAAAATGAAAAGAGCTAAGAATGTAGGTTGGTAGTTAAGAACTTCTGGCTTCAATCCCTGGTGCAAAAAAAAAAAAAAAAGGACCCCAAGCCAGGCATAGTGGCAGCTTGGGAAGCTGGGAAGTGAGTTCAAAGCCAGCCTCAGCAACAGGGAGGCCCTAAGCAGCTCAGTGAGACCCTGTCTCTAAATAAAATACAAAATAGGACTGGGGGTGTGGCTCAGTGGTCAAGTACCCCTGGGTTCAATCCAATACCCCCAAAAAAGGCCCCTAAAAAGGAAAATAAGGATGTGGGGAGCACGTATTAACCAGCGTGATACACATTACAGTGCCTTTTTCTATAATGACATAATTGACACCTCTCTTTTGGTTGTGTGGGGGGGGACTAAAAAAACTGGGGGGCTTTAGTATTCTCTAAAAGATGAGGTGGAACCAAAAGTCCTCTCCCTCTGCTCGGTCTCCCCCTGGCCCTGCTCTGCAGCCTCTGGCTCCCACACCCTCCTCGCCTCCACTTTTCTGTCTTTCCTGCGTCTCTCTAGATGCGTCTTCCTACCACTCTGCTCAGGGCACACGTGGCTCTCGGGCTCCCTCTCCCGCCCCCTCCTCCCGCAGTGGCTCACAATTCTCAGGAAGGTCTGCGTGTCACATGGCGAGGTAGGGGACCTTCCTTCAGGCTGGTGATGATTCAACACAGTGGCGGGGCCCTCCCCCACCCACCCACGGAAATCTCAGTCCCAGGTGTCCCCATGGATGACCTCACTGTCCCTCCCTGCAGCTCTAATGGTGGGTCCCCTGGCCTGAGGTGCCAAGGACCCGGGTATGGCCGCTGCCCGGTCCCTCACCGCTGCTGTGGCTGCTGTCGTACAGGGTGGCGTAGGTGCCTGTGTAGTAGTAGATCAGCTGGTTCTGCCGAATGAAGAGCGTGCTCTCCGTGGAGATGGCGTCGTAGATGGTGGCTGAGAAGTCAGCCTGGGGACAGTAGAAGGAGCCTACCCAGCAGCTGTCAATGCTCAACTGCAGGGGAGCAGAGTCTGGGGTGAGCAGGTGACCTGGGCCTCAGCCCCATGTCTTGCTTATGGGGGTAGTTCTTGCTCTAACTGCTTGGCATGGACACAAGCAGCCGCCCAGAGTGCTCTCCCTACTCAACCTGCAGCAGCGCCTTGGTGGCCAAATGCCTCCAACATGGGCCAGAAAGCAGAGGTTCAGAGACCTGAGCCAGTGTGCACGTCAGGTGCCCCGAAGTGCAGCATGCTCAAGGGCACTCAGTGTCCCTGCGCCCCTCACTGCAGTCAGGGCTGTGTCTACGTGGATATAAAGCATCCAGGCTCACACCTCCGTCTACCCAGAACACACGTGGCTGCAGGTCAACACTACCTGATCCAGTGGCCAATTACTAATGACAATGTCATTAACAGCGGGACAGTGGAGGGTTCTTAGATTCTATGAGACTGAATCTAAATCAATCTAAATTTAGACTAAATCTAAATTTCCAGAGCTGGTGACCAGCTTCAGGCCACATGGACTAATGCAGACTGAAATGCCCCCGCCCCCATATGCTGAACCCTTCACACGACTGAATGGTAATAGAGACCTCAGGGAGGCAACTAAGAATAAATGAAGCTGGTGTGGTGGCGCAGGCCTCTAATCCTGGTGGCTCAGGAGGCTGAGACAGGCCAGTGTGGGCAACTTAGCAAGACCCTGTCTAAAATGAAAAATAAACAAAGAGATGGATGTGGCTCAGTGGGAGAGCGCCCCTGGCTTCAAAAAATGTGGCTGGGGTGTAAACCCCAGGTTTGATCCCCAAACCACGAAAATAAAAACAGAGAAAAGAGGAAAGCCAGGTGTGGTGGAGCACACCTGTGATCCCAGTGACTCAAGAGGCTGAGGCAGGAAGATTGCAAGTTTGAGGCCTGCCTCAGTAACTTAGCAAGACCCTAAGCAACTGACTGAGACCCTGTCTCAAAAAATAAAAAGAGATGGATGTGGCTCAGTGGGAGAGCGCCCCTGGGTTCAATCCCTGGTACCAAAATAATGATGATGATGATGATGATGATGATAATAATAATAACATGATGATGATGATAGTAATAATAATAAATGTTTCAGAAAAAAGGGCAAAAGGTTGATAATTATTAAGGCTGGTTCATTGTCCCATTCTCTCTCCTTTGGCGCATTCACTAAAAAGGAATTTTCTGCTCATTTTTTTCTTTTTTTTTTAAAGGGTGATTTTTTTTTTTTTTTTTTTTAGAGAGAGAGTCGAGAGAGAGAGAGAATTTTTAATATTTATTTTTTAGTTTTCGGTGGACACAACATCTTTGTTTGTATGTGGTGTTGAGAATCGAACCCGGGCCACACACATGCCAGGCAAGCGCGCTACCGCTTGAGCCACATCCCCAGCCCTCATTTTTTTCAATAAAAAGTATAAATCAAAGCAAAACTCTAGGCTGTGCTGCTGAAATTCCATCAAGTCAAGGAAAAAATATTAATTTCTTGCTTTCTCGCCCTATTTAACATCAGAAAAAAGACCTTGAGAATTTACTTCCAAAAAGTCTTGCTCAAACCGCAGAGGTCATGGCGACACTATTTTCTGCATAAAATGTTTGTGACTGGGGCTGGGCTGGGGCTCAGTGGTAGAGTGCTCGCCTCGCAGATGTGAGGCCCTGGGTTCGATCCTCAGCACCACATAATAATAAATAAATAAAGATATTGTGCCATCTACAACTAAAAAAAAAAAAAAGTTTGTGACTGATGAGTTGCCATGGTAATGTGTAGTCCTGTTAATAATATTCAAATTGATGGCTCTGTTTTCTGGAAGAAATACTTAGACATTTCCTTTCTGAAACTGGATGCTCATTGCACTTACCTGTTCTCCCACATCTATGCACAAAAGGAAAGCTGAGGCTAAGCTGAATTTTTTTGTTTGAGCAAAGCTTGAGGGTTCTGACTCATTTAATTTTGGAGGGGTACCAGAAATTGAACCTGGGGCACTGAACCACTGAGCCACCTCCCCAGCCCTTTTTTGTATTTTCCTAGAGACAGGGTCTCAGTTGCCAGCCCTAATTTGCTGAGGCTGGCTTTGAACTTGCAATCCTCCTTCCTCAGCCTCTGGACCTGTTGGGATTGCAGATCTGCGCCATGGTACCCAGCTCTGACTCATTTAATAAGCACTTTGTTGGGTTCCCCTGCCTCGGGGAAGCAGGCAGATGCCTGAGCCCCGGGGATGGAGCTTGAGGGATGTAGGAAAAGATCTTTCCCACTGGATGTGGTCCTGGGAAGACAGGGCCCCTCAGCCTTCAATGCCAGAGGGTAGAACTATTTTGAGCAAGAAGTCAAGACAGAGGAATCAGGTCCAAGAGATAGAGAGAGAAACCCAGGCTGGGTTGTGGCATTGTTAAAAATCCTGGGTCCGGCTGAGCCAGAAGTCCTGAATTTCTTTTTTAATATTTTATTTCTTTATTTACTTATTTTCATGTGGTGCTGAGGATCGAACCCAGGGCCTCGCAGGTGCTAGGCAAGCGCTCTACCCCTGATCCACAACCCCAGCCCTCCCAAATTCTTTAATTACATGAACTTATAAGTTTCCTTCTCTATCTTTTATTTTGAGGCAGGATTTCACTGTGTTGCTCAGGCTAAGCTCAAATTCCTGGGCTCAAGCGACCCTCCTGCCTCCGTGTGGGTGGGACTCCAGGCGCAGGCCCATGCCCAGCCTCCTCTCCACTTTTGGTAGGTGGTTATTTCCATTTTCCCGCACTTTTTGGTAATTGGGTTCGGCAGGCATGTGGCATCCAGCCTCCTCGGGCTGGACGTGATGCTGTCACTGATGGAATGGGATTCTGCTTACGTGAACCACTAGATCCATTTTTCTGCATGAACCAACCTGGTGTGGCTCAGCAGGTGGCTGTTACTCACTCATCCAGACATGTTTCTGCCACTAAACCCAAGAACCTGACTTCAGATGCTTCTTCCCCATCCTGGGACAATGCAGGCTTGTGACTCCTAATTTGAACCCTCAGGGCCACATGTATGTCAATTCTGAATTTTCCTGAGTGTAGAAGGCACTAGGGTACATAGATGCCACTCATGATGGATGCTATTAACTTATCTTCACAATGATTTTATAAAATAAAAATAAATATAATTATTTTTTCCCATTTTACAGATGGGAATCTGAAGCCCGGGTTGCCCAAGGGTTAGTGAGAAAGTGGCAGGACTAGAATTTCAACTGGGTCGCCTGGCTGCAGTTGCTATCTGGTAGGGACTGGTGTCTTTGGGGTCCCGTTCTGCAGGCCCAGGCCCCCTCATTCAGGGGCTGAGGCCCAGCTCCTTTCAAGAGACCCCAGCCCACTGCCCCCCCGTACCACTCACTTCCACAAGAGAGAATTCCCTGAAGTTGGTGCTGGTCATGAGGAGGGCCTTCTCGTTGGGAATGCCACCCAGGATTAGCACAGGTGACTGGTCCACATTGTACCACAGGGGTCTCGATGAGACATTCACAAAGTATCTGGGCTTTATATTAAAGAGCTGCCAGGGGAGGGACGGGAGGGATACTCAGAACTTCTGCCCCATGGCTCTGACGCATTCAGGGAAAAGCCAAAGTCCTTGCCCTGACCACATGGCCCCCACCATTTGCCCTACCACCTCCCTGACCTTATTCCCCACCATTCCCCCCCACCTCACTCTCTTCCTGCCCATCGGCCTCCTCCGTGCTTCTCAAATATACCAGAGACACTGCCACCTCAGGGCCTTTGCATAGGCTATTCCCCCTGTATGAGATGACCTTGCACCAGTATCCATGTGACCCCTCTCCTCGCCTTCTCCAAGTCTCTACTCAAATGTCAACCTTCTCAATGAGGCCTTCTTTCATCGGTCTATTAAACATGGCACTCTCTCGTCCCAAAAAGACCCATTTCCCCTCAGCCTGTTTGGTTTCCCTCCAGAGTACCATCTTTTAATCTTCAGTGGAATGGAGGTGTCATGCTATTTGGTGTCACAGTGACATTCAGGCAGTGCATGCTGAGTGAACGAATGCACAGTGATTCAGATGGAGCAGCACACAGGCTCAGTTTTAAATCTCCTTCCGTGTGTACATGCTGAGAGGGCAAATGGTCCCCTCTCTTCTAAACCTCACATTGAAATGAGTGTGAGAGCACCCCCCAGGCTCCCCACGAAGTTGTAAGGCTCTGGTGCACTTAGGAGAACCCTGCTCCAGGCCTGGTGTGAGTCCTCTTGTTTGGGAGGAAGCAGGGCGCCTGGCCAAGGCCCAGTTCGGTTGCTGAAACCCAAGCTTTCCACCTTTCCCACTGCCCGCAGGGCCCTCACCTCATCTCCCACTGTGAACTGGATTCTGTTGTCTGCCCCCATCTTCAGGAAGCCATTGATGTTCACGTGGAACCTAGCATCAGGGGTAGGGCACGGGGAGGGCTGGTTCAGAGCTCACCCAACAGCTCACAGCCACCTTCCCTGGCTCCTTGGGGATGGGGATTAGGGATTCCCCCCAGAATGTTCCCCCCCCTCACCACCCAGGCCTGGGGCAGAGGCACCTTTTACTGGGAATGATGGGCCCGAGGCCGTTGCTGCTGACATCCACGCGCATGACCACGCTGCCGTTCTTGATGGGCATGGGTGTGTACCAGCTCATGACACACACCTCCGTCGCCATGCATGGTTCTGCTGACACAGGGGGCAGAGGTACTGGCATCTCCCAGGATGTCCCTCCAGGCCCCAGAATATCCGGGGAGCGTCCTGCCGCTCCCTCCCGCAGGCCAGGGGGCCCACCTTTGCTGCGGAAGGGGGCCGCCTCCATCTGGATCTGCAGCTGCTCTATCTTCCAGCGGTAGAAGTTGACGGGGGCCTGGAAGGTGACTAGCACTAGGGGCTTCAGCCCCATCAGGTGGCCACTGCGGACCAGGTCCTCGGAGTGCTGAGGGAGAGATGGCCCCATAAGCAGATCCTTAAGACAGTTTCTGGGCCCTCTGCGTCCCCCCTGCCTCAAGCCCCTTTTAGTGGCCCGTATTCCTGGGCAGGGTGGGGAGGGCAGGCTCTGCACCATGGGAAGGTCAGCAAACAGGGCTGGAGGTCTTCCTGGAGGAGGTGGATCAGGACAGAAGATGAGTGCAGGAGTGTCTGGGGAGGGCAGCAGGCAAGGCAAAGTGGAATGAGCATGGCAGAGGGATTCCCAGCAGCCTCCCCTGACCTTGGGGCACCCAGCCCCCATAAGGGGACTGCCACCTTCCCTGAGGCCCCTGCTCACTGCTCTGGGAGAGCACAGCCAGGCACTGGGCCTGGGGTCTGAAGGTGAACATTGGTAGGGCCATTGGAAAGGGACTGAGGAATGGGGTGAGGTGCATCTGGGGACAATCTCCCAGATGTGCCAGGATCCTGGCTGTACTAGGGCCAGACAAGGCTTTGAGGGTGGGTGGCATGAGGGACAGAGAAGTGTAGGTGTGAGCAACAGCCGTGTGCCCAGCAGTTCCCGGACAGAGGCCTCCCTTGGGCTGGGGAGGAGGACAAGGGGAAGGACTAACGGTGTGACCACCATTGCCAGGAACTTCATCCTGAGGGAGCCTTAGCCGGGGACTTTTGAACCTGCCCTACACCTGCACCTGCACCTGGCCCTGCCTCGAGGTTCCCAGGCACAGGGGAGCAGGTGCTGTGGGGCAGGGACCCCCTCCCTGTCAGGGCAACTGGCTACCACCCTGGTCCTGTCTTCCCTCTTCTGCGTGGACAGTGCAACAGCCCCTCCCCGCTCTCTGCTGCCACCTGAGCCAGGAAGCCCAGTCAGATCACACCCTCCTCCGCTCAGAGCCTTCTATTTTCGTAATTTTTATTTTTTGGTGTTGGGGATTGAAACCAGGGGCACTTAACCACAGAGCCACATCCCCAGTCCTTATGTTTTCTTGAGAGGCAGGGTCTCCCTAAGTTGCTTAGGGCCTCACTATGTTGATAAGGCCTGGAACCTGTGATCCTCCCACCTCAGCCTCCCGAGAGCTGGGATTACAGGGGTATGCCACTGTGCCTGGCTTGCTCAGAGCCTTCTTGAGGCCCCATGTCACTCAGAGTCAAAGCCATATCTTCACCATGGCCCAAGAGACTTTATTTATTTCTCTACAAAATTATTTTATGTACTTGAATCAAGAATTGCTCTCCTGGTGGACTGAATCCGCAAGAAAAGCATGACCATTTGCCATGGTTTAAATGTGTTCCCTAAGGGTTCATGTTCTCAAAGCTTGGCCCTCATTGTGGTGATGGTGGAAGGTGCTGGAACCAGTGCAAGGTGATGGGGTCACTGTGGGACCTAACGCTAGTCTCCCAGAGTTAGTTCTCAAGAGTGAGTTGTTACAACGCAGGTTCCCCCACGTGCTTGGCCTTTTCTCCACACAGCAATTTCCATTCCCTCTTTTCTGCCATGTTGTGACACAGACAAGGGGACCCTCACCAAAGGCTGAACAGATGGTGCCAGCTGATCTTGGAAGTGAGCTAAATAATAAAGAAGCCTCTTTTCTCTAAAAATATGCAACTTCAGGTATTTTGATATAGTAACAGAAAATAGATTAATATACCATTGTATCATCTCTAACAAAAAGAGGGGCTCATTCATAGTAGGTGTTGAATGAACAGAAAGAGGTATTATTTCCTCACTCTTGTAGCTAAGGAGAAAAGATTCGTGGGGTAAAACACTTAGTAACAAGTTGCTAACATTCACTGAACCTTACTATAAACCAGGTACTGTGCTAAGTGTATATATTTGATCATATTAAGAAGTAGGCTGGGTGATATAGCTCAGTTGGTAGAGTGACTGCCTCGCATGCACAAGGCCCTGGGTTCAATCCCCAGCACCACACACACAAAAAAAGTGGGTATGATTATTAACATTACCTTATTAAGGATGAGGAAATTTTGACGCAGAGAGGTTAAATAACTTGACTCAGATCACACAGCTGTTGTGTGGCAGAGCTGGACTTGAACCCAGGCAGCTTGGCTCCAGAGCCCAAACAATGAACATGCTGTATTTTCTGCCATACTTTTTCAAGTAAATCCTAGTTGATTACAGACTCAAACCCACATGTACTGGCTAGAGTTGGGGCTCAGTGGTAGGGTTCTTGTTTAGCATGTGTGAGGCACTGGGTTTCATCCCTCGCACCACATAAAAATAAAACAAATAAAATAAAGGTATGTGTCCATCTACAACTAAAAAATATATTTTAAAGTAATTTAAAAAAACCCCAAATGTACAAACTCCTGTTCTGAACCATAATACTCCACTGTCCTCCAAAAACTTACTTGAATAAAAACAATGTAGAAAAAGAAGAACAAAGTTGTATGACTCCAGCTTCCCAATATGAAAACTTATTACAAAATTACAATAATAAGACTTTGTGGTACTGGCATATGAATAACATATAAACAACCAAATAAAATTGAGTCCAAAAATAAGCTCCTTCATTTACTGCCAATTTATTTATTTATTAGTTATAGGTGGACACAATGTCTTTATTTTTATATTCATGTGGTGCTGAGGATCGAACCCAGTGCCTCACTCATGCTAGACGAGCTCTCTACCTCTGAGCCACAATCCCAGCCCCGCCAAATGATTTTTAACAAGGGTGCCAAGACAGTTCAATAGGGAGAGAATAATCTTTTCACCCAATGGTGGGATAATTGGATATTTAAATGTAAAAGCTGGACTTCTACCTCATACCTTATACAGAATTAACTCAAAATGGATCAAAGACCTAAATGTAAGAGCCAAAACTAAAAATCTCTTAGAAGAAAACATAGGAGAAAGTCTTTATGACCATTGGTTAGGCAAACCCTTATGATACCATAAATGCAAACCACAGAAGAAAACTCAAATTGGCTGGGCTGGTGGCTCATGCCTGTTATCCCAACAGCTCGGAAGGCTGAAGCAGGAGGATCTAAGTTCAAAGCCAGCCTCCCCAATTTAACGAGGCCCTAAGCAACTCAGCAAGACCCTGTCTCTAAATAAGAATCAAAACAAGGAATAGGGAGGTAGCTCAGTAGTTAAGCGCCCCTGAGTTCAATCCCCAGTGCTCAAAACAAAACAAAACAAAAAACAACTTTTACAGCTCAATAATTTTTTAAAAAAATTTTAAATGGGCACATGGAACACCTGTAATCCCATAATCCTAGCTATCCAGGAGGATGAGGCAGGAGGATGGCAAGTATGAGGCTATCCTGGGCAATTTGGAGAGACCCTATCTCAAAATTAGATTAGAAAAAGGACTGACATGTTGATGTAGATCTGTTCATCTGGTAGGTCCTGGGTTCAAACCCTAGTATAAAAAAACAAAAAATAAGGCATGTGGCCCATGCCTGTAATCCCAGCAGCACAGGAAGCTGAGGCAGTAGGATTAAATGTTTGAGGCCTGCCTCAGGAATAAAAAAGGATAGGGAATATAGCTGAGTGGTAAAAGCACCCAGGGTTCAATCCCTGAACCAAACCAAACCAAACAAAAACCAAAAGACCTGAATAGAGGGGGGCGGGCTGGGGCTGTAGCTCAGTGGCAGAGCACTTGCCTAGCATGTGAGAGGCACTGGGTTTGATCCTTAGCACCACATAAAAATAAAGGTATAATGTCCAACTACAACTACAAAAAAAACAAAAACTTAAGACTTTTCTCCAAAGAGATAAGCAACCAGCCAAGTACATGAACAGATGCTCAACATCATTAGTTATAAGGAAGAGGCAAATCAAAACCATAACATTCTACCTCACTTTTTAAATTATTGATTTATTTTTTAGGTGTAGATGGACACAACACAATGCTAGGGGAGCGCTCTACTGCTGAGCCACAATCCCAGCCCAAATTCTACTTCACTTTTAAGCACATGATATGTCCTTAGAGGGACACTGGGAACTGTACCTACATAATCTTCTTGAATCCTAAGTCCCAGGATTGCATGACATTATCATTATTAAAATGTTAAAATGGGGGCTGGGGTTGTGGCTCAGTGGTAGAGTGCTCGCCTAGCACTCATGAGGCACTGGGTTGAAACCTCAGCACCACATAAAGATATAATAAAGATATTATGTCCACCTACAACTAAAAAATAAATATTAAAAAAATGTTAGGGGCCGGGGTTGTGGCTCAGCGGCAGAGCGCTTGTCTAGCATGTGCAAGGCCCTGGGTTCGATCCTCAGCACCACATAAAAATAAATAAAATAAAGGTATTGTGTCCAAGTACACCTAAAAAATAAATATTAAAAAAAATGTTAAAATGATGAGAGCCTGACATGGTGGCACACACCTGTAATCCCAGTGACTCAGGAGGCTGAGGAAGTTGGATCCCAAGTTTGAGGCCGGCCCCAGCAATTTAGCAAAACCCTGTCTCAAAATTAAAAAATAAAAAGGGCTACTGACACGGCTCAGTAGCTAAGAGCCCCTGGGTTCAATCTCCAGTACCAAAAAAAAAAAAAAGTTAGGGATGAGGAAATTGAGGCTGACAAAATCATCCAACCCCCACTACACTCACTCACCTGTCCATGGCAGGAGTAGTTGATTTTCAGGTAGTAAGGAAAGCCCAGGTATCTCTGCAAGGAGAGGTAGGTGACATGTGCAGAGCCAAGTGGAGCACTGGTTCAGGACCTCTCTGGTTCACTCCTGGATCCCTCACCTCGCGCCGGTCGATGGGTGAGTCCACCAACATGTTGAACACACCGCGCACTGTGTCCACCGGCTCTTGATGAACGAATTGGTCACTCTCCAAGTTCTCACCCACCCTCTGGAACTTGTTCAAGACAACATGCCAGGTGCACTCGTGGAAATCGTAGATGACTGCCCACAGCCTCCACGGTCCCAGTAGCACCGCGAGCAGTGCCCACAGCACCCGTAGGACTCGGACTCTTAGCCACACAGGGCTGGCAGGGGACATGGTTTGGCAGCGCACATGAAGCTAGAATCTGGAGAACGCGGGGATCAATACCCCCGCGAAAGACAGCACTTTGGGATTGACCTCGATGGCCTCGCCCTGCTGCTACTGCTCCAGCACTTTGCTTGGACCCAGCCCCTGGCTCGGACCCCGGTCTTGCTCAGGGCCCCACCTCTGCTCTTACTCTTGGCTCCGCCCCTGCTCTTGCAGCTAGCTTCCCTCTGGCTCTTGCTCTTGCATCTGCCCCTACTCCAGCTCCCGGCTCCCTCCGGGCTTCTGCTTCTGGATCCCTGCGGACTCTTGCTCCTGGATCCCTCCCAGCACTTGCTCCAGGATCCCTGGCGGCTCTTGCTCCTGGCTCCCTCCCGGCTCCAGCTCCTGCTCCTGTCTCTCTCCCAGCTCTTGTTCCTCGCTCCCTCCCGGCACTTGCTCTGGGATCCCTCCCGCCTCTTCCTCCTGGCTCCCTCCCAGCACTTGCTCCAGGATCCCTCCCGGTTCTTGCTCCTGGCCCTAGCCCCGCTTTTGCTGCAGGTCCCAGCCCTGCTCTTGCTCCTGACCCCAACTCGGGTCTTACTCCGGGTCCCAGCCCTACTCTTGCTCCTGGTCACGACACTACTAGAGCACCTTTTTTCGTCCCGCCTCCTCATCTCTCCCTGTAACTTTGCTCGGCCCTTGCTTCTTGCTCGGCCTGTTAGTATTCTGACCTGGCTCTTCACCAAGTCTCGGTTTCTGTTCCTCGCTTTGACTAAACACTCCCTGTTTTCTCCTGTTCTGCTGCAATCTGTGATCATACTCTTGTTCCTGCATCTGGCTCTGCCATCATTTCTTGTCCGCCCCCCAACCTTCTTTTCGTGCCTTCCATTTCTCCTCACTCGGGCGCTGCTCCGGCACCGGGACCTACCCTTGGTCCCGCCTCTCTCCGGGTCCTTCTCTCGGGCCTTCACCACGCCGCGCCCTTTCCCCTGTCCGCGACCCTGTTTCTGTCCTAGGGCTTGCTCCTCACTCGGCTTCTTATCCTTGCACCGACCCAGTTCTTCGACCCGCTGCTTTTCGACCCTCCCTTTCCGCTGGTCTTTGGCGAGCTGTTCTTCCCGCGCCTGCTCCTCGCCCCGCCCTTTCCTCTTGCCCCGCCCCCTTTCTGCACCCCGCTCCCTTTCCTCGCCACGCCACGCCCCGTTAGAGACCCGCTCCTCCCCTCCCAGTCTCTCGTCCCAGCTTACTTTCTCCTCGCCTCGCCCCTTCTCGTTAGAGACCCTTACTTCACCCTGGGATTTCTCCTCGCCGTGGGATCTTTGCTCGCCACCCGCCTTACTCTCGTCCCGGGATCTCTCCTCGCCACGGGATTTCTCGCCACGGGCCTTCCTCTGGCCCCGGAATCTCCCCTCAGGACGGGTCTTCCCCCGGGATCTCTCCTCGCCACCGGCCTTCCCCTCACCCTGACATCTCTCCTCGCCACGGGATTTCTCGCCACGGGCCTTCCCCTGGGCCAGGGATCTGCCCTCGGCCCAGGATCTGTGCTCGCCTCGGGATCTGTCCTCGCCCGGGGATCTGTTCTCGCCTGGGGATCTCTCCTCGCTCCGGGATCTGTCCTCGCCCCTGGATCTCAGCGCGCCGCGGGCCTTCCCCTCGCCGCGAGACCTCTTCTCGGCCTGCTCCCTCTCGTTCCACGCCAGCTCTGAATTCTCAATCCTCACCTTCCCGAGCCGCGACTCCTTCACCCCCCACCGTTTCCCTCCGGCCTTTTCCATGCCCCTAACACCTACCAGCTCTATGCCCCGCCTCTTCTAGCCCCGCCCCTATTCATCGCCCTGCTTCTTCCCTTAACCACGCCCTGCTCTTTGCCCCGCCTTTTCCCCCTCCTCTCTCCTGCCTCTCGCTCTCTTCCTCTGCCCGGTCCCCGCCTTCCCCTGCCTTTCCCCGCCTTACCGCCCCCTCCCCTCCCCTCCCCTCCCGTTTTTAGCCCCTCCCCACCCCCCGCATCCCCCCCCACCGGGATGGCACCGCCCTCTTCTCCCCGTCCCTCGGTACCAGTCACCTGGTTAAAACCGGTGAACCGTTGCTTGGCAGCACCTGTCCCGCCCCGGTTTGCCCGGTCTCAAAATGGCCGCCCGCACTTCCACAACCAACTTCCGCCTTTCCTGAGAAGAGTCTGCGTGACGCCCCTGTCACCACGGTAACGCGCATTCCTAACCGACGCTAGGGCTTGGGGGCGGGGCTCAAGCGCCTGGGGAAGCGAGTGCGTGGCCTACGGAGGGCCTACGGAGGGTCGCTGGAAATGAGATTGTGCTAGGAATGCCTTCAGATAGTTCCCAGAGACTGTTCTGGTACCAGTCTGAATGCGTGTCCTTCAGCTCAAAAATTCTACCTCTGAAAAAAAAAATCTGACCTCCTAGGGATCTTGTGGGAATGAATTAAACTGCTAATTAACATGGTCTCATAGGGCTGGGGATGTGGCTCAAGCGGTAGCGCGCTCGCCTGGCATGCGCGGGGCGCTGGGTTCGATCCTCAGCACCAAAAAAAAGTAAAATAAAGATGTTTTGTCCACCTAAAACTAGAAAATAAATATTAAAAAACAAAGCAAAACATTGTCTCATCCAAAATATGGACATGGTCATCCATCACCAACATTATTGTGGGAAGTCAAGAAAATAACATCTGAAGAGGGCAGCACAGTGCCTACGCGAGTAAACAAGTGAACAGTAAGTACTGTTAAATATACAGGAGGCCATTAGTTTGAGCTTCTACGCAAAGGCTGGTCACACCTCCCACACCTGGCTATTTTAACATCTTCAAGGAAAGTACCTTTGAAAGAATCTGTCCAGGATTCTGTTCTCTGTTTCTGCTGTCCTGCCATTAGTCTCTGTCTTTAAAAGCAGCCTTCTTTGCTCAGCTCATGGGAGCATGCATTTTATGTGTTCTGATTCTGAAACTGAGTGATGGTAGGAATAAACCCTCTGGCTTCACTTGCTTATAGTTACTTCTTTTAATTGATTTTGAAAATCACTAGCATTGGGCTGGGGTTGTGGCTCAGAGCTAGAGCGCTTGCCTAGCATGTGTGAGGCACTGGGTTCAATTCTCAGCACCACCTACAAATAAATAAAATGAAGGTCCATCAACAACTAAAAAATACATTTAAAAAAAATCACTAGCATTAGAGGTCACATAGCTGAGTGATGTAGTACTAGCCTCCCATTCACTTTGCAGTAAATACCACCTAATGTGGGTGATGGTGATAATGGGTGCCTCGGTTACTTTTCAGGGACTTGAAGGATTTTTTTTTTTAAAGCTATGGCTCTTCACTTGGGTCTGCACAAGTGTTAAATGGGCGACTTCTTTGATGTCAGGAACCTGAAAACTCCACCTTCAGATCATACTAATGCTGCCATTTTCTGGACATGTGTCCTATGAAAATTGATTGGGCATGTGTAGACCACTGATACTTCACCTCCAATCAGACACCCCCATGTCTTAAATTACCCTGTTTCTTTCTCCCATATCCCAAACCCTATCCTTACTTTCCCACCTGCACACTAGCCACTTTGTGAAGAAAGTCTTGCAAAATTCACCCTGAGATTTCCATGATTGGCAAGTGTGCACTGGGCAGACCAGGTCTGGTTCAGTAGCAATTCTAGAATCACAGAGGAATGCCATTGAGAGCTTTAATCTAAATTTGTTTTCGTTTTAACTTTTAAAGTCTCTGATTATGACTTTATATTTTTTATTATTATTATTATTATTATTATTATTATTATTATTATTATTATTATTTTAACTGTGCTTGGGATTGAATCTCATGCATGCCAAGCAAGCACTCTACCACTGAGTTACAGCTCCGGGAGACCATGACTTTTCAATGAACTGCAAACCTGACTTCAAACCAGTCGTTTTCAAATTTGAGCTCTCATCAGATTCACAAAAAGACCTCATTCAAACAGGATGGTGGGCTCCACCCTGGAATTTTTGATTCAGTAGATCTGGGGTGGGCACGAGAAGTTTTATTTCTATCAAGTTCTTAGGTGATGCTGATCCTGAAGGTCTGAGGCCCACACCTTGAGAACCAGAACTCTAAAACCTTCCAAATCCCAGGACCTCAGGAATATCCAGACCCCTCAGATGGCTTCCAGACGCTCATCCCTGTTGTCCCATCCAGATGGCCTCATTCCTCCCCATAGATTCCTGTATGCCACGGCCCAGTCACACAGAGTGGAGGAATGTCCTTTGCTCAGGTGCCATCTCTTCCTCAGACCTGTGCACACACTGTAATGTGCTCAAATACCAGTTCCTTTTTTGTCACCAAGCTACTTCCCTTCAAGTTTCTGTCATGGTTTTGTGGCGCTGGGGGTGGAACCCAGGGCCGTGCACACGTTAGGCAAGTGTCTACTACTGAGCTACACCCTCAGCCCCCGTTCAGATTTTTTTTCTGTGATGCATGACAAGCCCCCATAAATCCTTCAGCCCCTGAGGACACCTGGCTAGAGACAGACCTGTCTCTGTCACTGGGTGGAGAGATTCAATCTCTGCCCAACAGCACAGACCAGGTACCCTTATGTAAAAGGACAGCAGGTGGAGTCTGTCTTTCCCACCAGTCCACCCCACGGGCCAGGGAGGGTGACTTCATCCAAAGAAATCAACTCAGCAGCCATGTACCGAACCCATCTAGATCCACCAGTCAACACTACCAGGTCTCCCAGTGACATGTCCAGCTTGGGGACACAGCACCCTAGGGAGGGACAGTGCCTTCATTAGGTCCCAGTGCACAAGGCTTTTGCTGCAGCATTGTTTTACCAGCAAAAGATGAAATCACCCACACACCTCTCGGGGATGCCAGAATGACTCGGGGACATGTGTTCTAGAGGAGGCCCCGCAGATACAAAGGATATGAGACGTGGACGTGTGCCTCTGGTGTAATGTCTGAATTACACTGTGATGACGGGAAAAAAAACAAGAAGCAGTGATGTCACAGAATGTAATGTTGAAATGTGAATGTTTTTATATCATCTACATAATATTTTACAATGAGAACAACAGCAATATGAGGCAGCATTTCACGGAGTCCCACACGCCCCTGAGTGCTCTCCAGGTGGTGAGCTCGACTGCTCCATCCATGAGGTAGGCGCGGTTGGCATCCCGTGTCACAAATGAGCAACTGGAGGTGACATCACCTGCCCAAAGTCCCCCAGCTTGGGAGTGACAGTCTGTGATTCTCACCACCTCAACACACTAGGTACCATTTGTGTAGAATGGGAAATAAGACACGCGTGTGGATGTTGCCGGCGCAGCCCTGGAGGAAACCTGCGGACCCCCGCGCCGAGTGCAGGAGGAAGGCTTCTCCCCCGCCGGCCGAGCTCTCCGTGGTACAGTTGGCATTTCTCTTTTCCTTTTTTCTCTCCTCCCTCTCCTCTCTTCTCTCTCTCTCTCTCTCTGTACCAGGGATTGAACCCAGAGGCACTTACCCGCTGAGCCCCAGCCCCAGCCCCAGCCCTTTCTATATTTTATTTAGAGACAGGGTTTTGCTGAGTTGCTGAGGCTGGCTTTGAACCCACGATTCTCCTGCCTTAGCCTCTTAAGCTGCTGGGATGACAGGTGTGTGCCACCGTGCCCAGCTCCCCTTTGGAATTTTTAGCACATCCTTTTTTTTGTTTTTGTTTTTAAATACTTCCAATGGAACAGGACCTGGTAACTCTTCCTAGAGGAACCTGCAGAGCAGCAGCAAGCCCTGGAAGCCAGATTAACAGGCACCTCCCTCAAGGAGATGAGAAGCAGCTGCCCAAACCATCCACCCTGATTTGAATGCCAAGATCCAATGTGACCTTGATAAGAAGCCCAAAAGGCCGGGAAGCTGAAAAGAGCTGGACAGTGGATGTTTCTGAGCTCCCATAGGAAGAGGTGACCAACCAAGAGCCTGTTCATATCCCAGTTTTGCACTTTCTATGTGACTTTTGGCAAGTTACTTAACCTCTCTGAGCCACTTTTCCTCATCTGTAAAAGGTAGAGAATGTTCATGACTCACAGGTTTGCTGAGAAGGTTGAATGTGTCAAGGGCTTAGAGCTGTGCCTGGCACATGGTGAACCCTCTGTAAGTATTTTCTATCACTTATCACAACAATCATGTGGAATTTAAAATTCTCTTTTCTTTTTTTCCAAATATTTTTTAAAAATATTTTTTAGTTGTAGTTGGACACAAATACCTTTATTTTCTTTATTTTTATGTGGTGCTGAGGATTGAACCCAGTGCCTCACATGTGCTAGGCAAGTGCTCTACCACTGAGCCACAACCCCAGCCCTAAAATTTTCTTTTCTTACCATTTTACTGTCCACCTTCCTGGTTTTCCTTATTCCTCTTTATCCTGTGCTTTTTTTCTTTCTCCTTTGTAAGCACTTTTCTTTGGTATCACAACATTCATTGAAGGGTCATTGCTCACTAGAGAAGATCATGTCCAATTGTGATGCCTAGACCTCTGGCAGCCACTTTGGGACCATGAGGGGAGAACACATGTGAGGCAAGCCTTCAGCTGAGGGTGGCAGAGCAGAGACACAGGGACCCTGGGATCACTAGGCTCTTGCATTGCTGTGGAGAGTATTTCCAGAGGTCTCCCTGACTCTGATGAGGAGCAATCTAACATTTGCCTTATTAGAACCCCAGAAAAGCCAAAATCTTTCCTAATTGATATCAATATGTAAACACCCTGAGGCCACTTCTCTCTTCATCCTCTCCCACAGCCTCAATTCCTTTGACTCCAACTTTGACCACCCCCTGAGCCCCAGCCCCAGGGCCCTGTGACACCTCCTGGATGTCCCTGTAGCCCCTCAGACTCACCATATGTTAAAATAGCCCCCAACCCCTCTCAGAGCTGTGCTGCCTCCCAGGTCCCCAGGCACAACTGACCATGGGCCCGGTCCTTCCCAGTCTGCAAAGCCCATCCGCCAGCTCAGGGCCTCCCCGATCCCATGGCCCTGCCCAGCCCATGCTCTCTGTTCTCCCCCAGCCTCCCCCAGCACCCTGCCTCAGTTTCCCCCACTTATCTCCCTGCACACGCAGCTGGGGGGCCTTCCTAAAGTCCAAATCTGACCACGACTCCCCTTCTTGGTCCAAACGCCTCCATACCTCTCCAGTGCCCTCCGGATGAGGCCACCCCGGGAGTCACTCCAGGACTCAGACCAGCTCCTCCCTCGTCCCTGCCTTATTCCAGGCACAGGAGCCAGAAGCTGCTGCCCACATGCCCCAGCGCCAGGCCTGGGCAGGCTCTTGCTTCTGCCTGCCCTGCCCTGCCTGGCTCCAGTGCCCCGTGGTCCCTTCTGTGACTGAGGCACAGGGTGTGGTAGAGCTAGGAGCTCAGTCCAGGACCCTTGGCAGGAGGCTCTGCGACAGCCCGTCTCAGGAGGGGCAGATCCGAGGGGCTTAAACCTACAACCAATCACTTCCTCACCTGTGGCTGGGTCAAGGGACCACCTTCCCTTGCCTCAGTTTCCTCATCTGTGGAAAGGAGATAACCAACATTATCTCCCTTCCTGTAAAGTATCCAGAAGAGAGCCTGGCCAGAGTGTCACAGAGTAACAGGGCAGTCCCGGCGACATCACCTCTGCAAGTGGTGCTATCCTGGTTGCCATTTTATAGGAACAGTCTGAGAGGTAGAGAAACTGCCTAAGGACCCGGGCAGGACACGGCTGGGCTAGAGGGAGCCCACAGGCTCGGTGAAGGGGGACCTGGGCTGAGATACTGAGGGAGGTCCTGCCACCCGGCCTGCCCCAGGATGGCCACGCAGGCCCTGGTCCCTGAAGGTACCTGGGAACGTGAATCAAGGACACCTTCTTCCTCTGACCGTTCCTCACATTTCCGTTCTCAGTCCTGTCACTTCCTCTCCTGACCTTCCAGCTGCAGCTGGCTGGTGCCCTGACCACTCACTCTGCCTCTGCCGTCTGGGACTTCCACCAGGTGGGGACATGGCTGTGAGTCCCATGAAAGTAGAGAACAGGGCCACCTCCACTACTCCTGTGTCCCCAGAACTGTGTAGCCCTGGGCCAGCACAGAGGCAGGGTCTGGGGGTGAACGGACGGCCCTCTGACAGCCGAGGAAACCGAGGCTCAGAGAGGGCTGCCACTGAGCACCTGACCTGTGCGAAACAGGTCCGGGACCGGGTCTGGGACAGCCTCCCTGGAGGAGCGGGTGGGTGAGCGGCTGATGGAACATGGAGACTGAGGGTCGAAGGACGGACGTCAGGAAAGCAGAAAGCCAGAGGGTGGGGCAAGGGGGAGAGGGGACAATGGGGGGGAGGGGCAGGGGGGGAGGTCGCCGAGGTGCCGCCGGAGCCCCAGGGCCCGAGGGCCGAGCAGCCCCTGCCTCCGCTCCACCTGCATGGACATCGGGTCCTGCCCTGGGCCCGCAGCCACCGCCTGCCCGCTACCTGGGGATGGAGGCGTAGTCGGCGCGGGCGCCAGCGGAGAGGTGCTGGTGCAGCTCGGGCGGGGCGCCCAGGATGTCCACCCGATCGTCCCTGTCGTCGCCGAGGCTGGCGGGGCACGGGCTGGGCAGCAGGACGAGCTCCGTGAGGCCGTGGAGGTCGGACACGTGGCGGAAGGTCTGCAGCACCAGCACCATGGCCACCAGGCCCAGGAAGAGGTAGGCTGCGGACACCGGGAGGGTCGGCTGGCGCGCCCATGGCTGTCCCCCGCAGCCCACCCGCCCGCCCTCGGAGCCAGCCAGGCCCAGCTCACCTGTGACCAGCACCTTGTAGAGGGCCCGGTGGGGCTGGCCGGGGGCCTCGCCGGGGACATAGTCACCCAGACCGATGGTGGACAGAGAGATGAAGCAGAAGTAGAAGGCGTCCAGGAAGCTCCAGGCCTCCTCCAGGTGGGCGAAGACCGTGGCCGGCACCAGAAAGCAGACGGTCACGATGACGCCCAGCAGGGCCACCAGGTGCCAGCGCGCGGCCCGTCGCGGGTCCCAGCCCCAGCGCCAGCTCAGCCAGGACAGGGGCGCGTGGGTCAGCAGCAGCGACAGGCGCTGGGCCGAGGCGGTGAGCAGCAGCATGGTGGTCGGCACGCCCAGGAGCGCGAAGGCGATGGAGAAGGCCTTGCCCGCGTCCGTCAGCGGCGTCGTGTAGCCGTAGCCTGCGGGGAGGGGGCTGCTGTCCACCCAGCGCTCCACGGAGCTGGCCCAGGTGGCAGGGGACAACCGAACCAGAGCTGACTGCAGCCCAACCCACTCCCCTGCAGGGCCTCCTGTCCCCGGAGTGGCCACCACCCCCCACTCAAGCCAAGAGCGGGGGTTGCTTGCAAACTCAGGGGAGGCCCGAGGAAAGCCCCGCCCCACTCGCCACATTTGCTTTCAGTTACTTGCTTTTAAGGATAAAGATCACTGATTTGAGCTGGGTACGTGGCACACACCTGAATTCCCACGACTGGGAGGCTGAGGCAGGAGGACCACAAGTTCAAAGCCAGCCTCAGCAACTTAGTGAGGCCCTAAGCAACTTAGCCACCCCCCACCTCAAAATAAAAAATAAAAAGGTCCAGGGCGTGGCTCAGCAGTTACCAAAATAAATAAAAAAAATACAAAGGGCTGGGACATAGCTCAGTGGTACCCTGGATTCAGTCTCCAGTACCTCCCCACCACTGACTTGGGGACTGGGGTGTAGCTTAGGGATAGAGTCCCTGCTGGTATGTACAAGGCCCCAAGTTTCATCACCAGCACTGAAAAAAAAATACATATATCACTAATTTTAGAGGTCACACAGCTAAGTAATACATTATTAGTCTCCTGCTAGCTCTGCTGAGAGGACACCTCTGCTGTGTGGGTCATGATGCTCACGGTTGCCCAGGTAACTTCTGTGGGACTTGGAGGCCGCTTTGGCTAAAACCCTGACTCTTGCCTTGGGCCCATGCAGGTGACCTCTTTGATATCAAGGGGCAAACTTCCCCTTCAGGTCATGCTAATGCTTCCATTTTCCGAACATATGTTCCATAAAGAGCCAGAAAGACTGATTAGTCACATGCAGACCACTAATGGCTTCACCTCCAGTCACCTTTTTCCATATCTCATGTCACCCTGCTTCCTTCTCCCGTAAATGTCCCCAGACCCTCTCCTCTGGGAAGCCTTAACCATTAAAGTTGAGACACTTTCCACACCAATCCCCGTGAGTAACTCTCTTGCAAAACTCATTTCAGTGACTGGCCAGCTGCACTTTCACCCAGGACTTCATGAACATCACATTCCATGTGTCAGCGTGGCCTGTCATCTCAGCCTTCAGACAGACCCACAGCCACCTACCTTTCCCCCTAACGTAGCCTCATGGCCCTGCCCTTGTCCCGCCTACCACAGCAGCCTCCCCCAGACCTCCCTTTTCTTCTAACCAGACCCCACAATCTGTCCACCTCACTCAGACTGAAGGACAAAGGCTTCACCCAACCCAAAGGGGCAGTATGCTCCTACCTCAGGGCCTTTGCTCGGGGCCAAAGCTCTTTCCATACATCCCCGGATTCCCCTCTCTCCAGTCCTTCAGATCTTTATCCAATGTCACCCTCTCAGTGATGCCTCCTCTGACTACTTTATTCTAGGTTGTAACACCCTCTTACTCCTGCCTTCCCACACCCCAGTTTTCTTATTTGGTTACTGCCTCCCCGAGGGCATCAGTTCCAGGAGGGCAGCGGATTCTGTTCTGTCCCTGCTGTGCACATGATCATGTGGGTACTTCATGAAGAATGTAGGCTTCTGCCTGGCCTCAGTTTCCCCTACTCTTAAAAGGGTGTGACAAGCTCCAGTGGACTCCTGGAGGACTATGGGAACACAGCAAGGCCCGCGGGGACATGAGTTCTGCAAGCAGAAATATGTCAAAGAGGACCTCAGATGTGGGGGCACTGACCAGTGAGTGACAAAGAGCAATTTTAAATCTCTTTTTATTTCCCTAATAAACAAACCAAAGGGTCAGATCTATGACTGGGTGATGAGGACCCAGTTATGCCACAGTTAAAAGGCTGCAGACCAGCACTGCCATGCATAATGAAGTGTGGACACCTGCACCAGCCGGTGTTCACTGAGCCTGCTTCCCAAACAAAGGGATCCCAGGTTTTTAATTTTTCCTTTGTATTTTTTTTGTTTGCTTACTTGGTTGATTGTTTGCAGCACTGGGGATGGAACCCAGGCCTCAGGGCTGCTAAGCAAGTGCTGTGAGCTACACCCAGCTGCTGATCCCATTTTTTAAAATATATATATATATACTTCAAAGAACCAAAAGCAAGCTCTAGAAGACAGAACTGCTCACAATAGTTAGAATGAGGAAGTAACTAAAGTTCCCATCCACAGATTAATGGACCAGCACAATGCAGCACACGCTGATATTCGGCCTTGAAAAGAAGAAATTCTGATACATGCTATAACGTGGATTATCTCTGAGAACTGTTGAGTGACCAGTCACTAGAAGATAAGTTCTGTATGATTCCTCTCAGTAAGGCAGGTAGGTGGTCAGATTCAGAGAAAGTAGAATGGCGATTACCAGGGCTCAGAGGGAGAGGCCATCAGGGAATTATTGTTCCAGGAAGGCACAGTGTCCGGGTTTTGTTTTTTTGTTTTTTTCCTCCTTTGGCACTGAGAATTGAACCCAGGGGCACTTTACCACAGAGCCATATCCCCAGCCCTTTTTTATTTTGAGACAGGGTGTCACTAAATTGCTGAGGCTGGCCTCCAACTTGTAACCTTCCTGCCTCAGCCTCCCGAGCCACTGGGATTACAGGCATCAGAGTTTCCCTTTTGCAAGATGAAAACAGTCCTGGAAGTAGATGATGGGGAGGGGTACGCAACATTGAATGTGATCAGCGACATTGAACTACATACTTCAAAATGGTGAAGATGGGCCTGGGGCTGGGGCTCAACGGCAGAGCATTGGCCTAGCATGTGCGAGGCACTGGTTCGATCCTCGGCACCACATAAAAAATAAATTAATCAACAAAGATATTGTGTGTCCCTCTACAACTAAAAAAATATTTCTAAAAATGGTGCAGATAGTACATTTTATGTTATGTCTATTGTATCAGAAAAATTGAAAAAAGGAAAAAGGATGTCAGGTGTGGTGGTGCGCACCTGTAACCCCAGCTACTCAGGAGGCCTAAGCAGGAGGATTCCAAGTTCAAGGTCAGCTGCTGGGATTACAGGCAGGGCCACCGAGTCTGGCAGATGCCCTCAGCCACCTAGAATAAGGACATTCCTCTTCCCTTGTAGCCAGATGTCACTCTGTGACTAATTTCTGGACCATGAATTATCATGAAAGAATCCAGGTCCTTCTTCTCTCTGAGAGGACCCACTCTCTCCCTTGAGAGTGTTCCGTTTTCCCCTTTTCTGTCTCCTCTAATAACCTCATGCTGTTACTCAAGAAAGAAAGAAAGAATGAATGAATTAATTAATTCAGGGACTTCCAGGAAGGGTCATGAAGGACAGGGGTGATCCCCATATCGTCCCTTTTCTTTCCTGTTCTGTTGACTGGAACACAGACATGAAGGCTGGAGTGCAGCAGTCATTTTGGACTATGAAGAGACCTGGGAAACAGAAACTGTCCAGAGCAGATACAGGGGAGCAGGGTTTTGCTGAGGAGTATGGGTCTCTGACCCCCAGCACCCCTCTGGTCTTGGACTGACCACCTCGAATGTGAGCAAGGAGTCAACATCCATCTTATTTAAGCAACTGTGATTGGGAGCTTCTCCTTCATGACTCCAACCCTCAGGAACACAGGTTCTAGTTGGGTGCTGTGGTGCAACCCGCAGTCCCAGTCACTCAAGGCTGAGGCAGGAGGACCCTGAGCCCAGCAGTTCACACAGCCTGGGTAACAGAGCAAGATCAATAAATAAAAAAATAAAACAAGGCTTTGTGTTATGTGTGTGTTCCTGGGGATTGAAACCAGGGTGCTCGACCACTGAGTCACACCCCAACCCTTTTCATTTTTTGGACAAGTTTTCCTTCAGTTGCCCAGGCTGGCCTTGAACTTGGAATCACCCTGCCGCAGCCCCCCAAGTAGCTGGGATTACAGGCCTGCGCCACCACACCCAGCAAAACGAGGGTTTGGTGGAGAACCTCCCCTGACCCGGCTGACACAACCGGTTTGCAAGCCACAGGACATCCTCATAAACAAGAAAACCAGAGTTGGGATTGAATGGGGCTGGCAGGCCTCCACTTACTACTTCAAAGAGCTGAGTCTGAAATAAGTGTTTTCCATTTTTTTCCTGCATGACCTTGGCTAAGTGACGCCTTCTTTCTGAGCCTCTATTTTCTAACCAACAACAAAAAAAAAAAAAGAAAAAGGGCTCAATAAATAATCCCCTCCTCAAATGTGGTAGTGATCCTACCAGGCAGGGGCGGTGCTCAGCACCCAGCGCAAGTGTGGAGAGGGTAGTGGTGATGTGGTACTACAATCAGTGTGTGTGTGTGTATGTGTGTGTGTGCATGTGTGTTCGGGGTGGATCCAGGGCCTCTTGCACGCGAGGCACCTGCTTTACCACGGAGCTCCGCCCGCAGCCAGCTACAGTGATCACAAACCTGACTTCCTTTTCCCTGGTCCCAGTTCCCTATCCCCGCTGCCCACACCTGGCCTCAACTTCTTACTAGGTCTTAGATTTGGGCCTGTGACAAAATGAGGGACACTGAGAAACAGGTCTCTCGGAAGGACATCCAGTCTGTATTCCAAGGCTCCAGGTACATTTGGGGTTCCTGGCCCCACCCAGAACCATCGGGGTGACTGAGGCTCTGTCAACATGAGTTGTACCAGCTCACCCTGGCAAGGACGCCTCCTTGACCAAACTCCAGCCAGCTTTCTCTGAGCGCTGTTTATCTTACAAGACTCCTAAGAATCCCCACCCTGGATATTGCATCAAATTCCTCATCTCCCACTTTTTTTTTTTGTACTGGGAATGGAACCCAGAAGAAGTGCTTTGCCACTAAGCTACACCCCTAATTTTTAAAATTTTTAAAAATTTGCAACAGGGTCTCACTAAGTTGCTTAGGGCTTCACTGAATTGCTGAGGCTGGCTTTCGATCCTCCTGCCTCAGCCTTCTGAGTAGCCAGGATTATAGGTGTCGCCACACCCAGCCTCATCTCCCCCTCCCTCTTTTTTCACCCCCTCCCACTCTTTTGAGACAGGTCTCGGCATGTTGCCCCAACTGGCCTGGAACTCATGATCCTTCTGCCTGAGGCTCCTGAGGAGTTGGGACCCCAGGTGTGAGCACCACGTGTGGCTGACTGGCCTGGGTTTGGGAGGTAGAGTGCTGTCAGGTATGTGCAGGGCCCTGGCCTCATCCCCAACGCCAGAGAAAAGAAACTGTCCAGCCCAGTCGAGGAAGCCTCCTGCCCTGTCCCTCCCACCCGACCCCTCGCTCAGCTGCCTTCACATCTGAGTTCCTCTAGGAAACGCACACATCGCCCTCTCCAAGCCATGCAGTGTTGAAACAGAGCCATCGAATGGCGACTTCCCTGTTCCTAAAGGCACGTCAGGCTGTTTTTCAGAACTGGCACGGGACCCTGGGATCTGACCTAAGATGGCCTCAGCAGCCTGGAGCAGAACCAGAAAACAGGCCCCCAGCCCTGGACTAGACCAGCAAGGGCCACTGTCAACAGAGGCAGAATAGACCAGAATCATCCCCAAGTGCCCCTGGACCAGCCGACTGTCAAACCCCATCCCCAGCCACTCAGGCTCCTCCCCTACTGGCCAGTCCAATCTGGGAAATGGACTTGAATGTGCCTCCCGCCTCCTTGCTCTTGGCCTTCAATAAAGCTCTTTCTTTTTGTAAAACAGAAAGGTCGGGCAGCGAGCCCTTGCTCAGTAGCAGAGTGGTATGTTGGGTAAGAGCACTGGATTCTGGAGATTTGGTTCAAATCTCTGCACCTTTCCAGCTGTGTGACCTTGGGCCAGTGGACCAACTTCTCTGTGCCTCAGCTACACACACACACACACACACTCTCTCTCTCTCACACATTTTCTCTCTCTCCAGGCATTACTATGCAGAGTGCTATTACCTCTCCTTTTTTTTTTTTTCACTAATGGGGACTGAACTCAGGGGTGCCCTACGGCTGAGCCACATGCCTACCTTTTGTTTTAAATTGCTGAGGCTGACCTCGAACTTGGGATCCTCCTGCCTCAGCCTCCTGAGTCACTGCAATCACAGGCGTGGGCCACCGCACGCAGCTTTATTACCCCATTTTCCAGATGAGGGAGGACATAGAGCAGCAGCAAAGCCAGGATGCCAAGCCAAACTGTGTCTGCCTGGTGTCTGGCCTCCCTCACCTGCTCCTCCTCCAGGGAGGATGATGCAGAAACCAGCATCTATGAGGAGACAGCAAGGCGCTGACCCAGGGAAGGTCAGAGGCTGGTCGGGCCGGCCCTGGCAGGCCCCGCAGTGTCGGGGAGAGCACGCCCCAGGCAAGGCGGCTAATTCTAGTCTGGGAGGAAATCACCCCGCTTTGCCGCCAGTGGCCTCTATTGGCTGATCCATAGGATGGGGCACCAAGGGGGACAAATGCCACCCCTTACTGCTGCTGGAGGCAGTCAGGATTCTGGACCACCCTCCTCCACGTTCCCAAAGGGGCAGCTGGTGGCTGGGGAGGGGCTGGGGAGCAGCAGAGCGTGATGGCAGAGGGACTTCCCAGGTCTGTGAGGGGACAAGGGACTTCCCCGGGGCCAGGGTTCTCAAGGGTTGGGGGTGGGGTAGATCCCAGGGTCCCACTTGAATGAGGGCTCAGAGCAGGGAGTCTAGGGGTCAATCTTAAATCAAGGGCCAGTGTCCTTGTTTGAAATGAATCCTGGGGTCCTGGGTCAAAGGGCCAGCAGCAGCTGGTGACGTCTGGCAGAGAAGTCCTCAGGCAGAGAGGGCTGTGAAGCCCAGGGTACCCGAGGGCAGGTGGTAAGGGAGATGCTGCTAAGAGATAGGGCAGTGTCCCAGGCCCTTGCTGACCATCCAGGGTAGACATGGTGCTGGGGAAGGTCCTGTGAAGAGGCCTGGCGCAGCCTTCATGGAGAGAATTTCAGAGACAACACAGGCTGGGGCAGTTGGGTGGAAAGGGACGTCCCAGCTGTGGGTCTGGAAAAGGTCAGAGGGCTCCCAAGTGCCCAGGAGATCCCCTTGTTTGGGAAATCCACAGAGGGCAGGGGACCTCAGCACCAAGACAGAGGTGGGAGAGGACATCTGGGCTGGCATCTTGTGGGGCCAGGGAGGCGGATTCTGCTGTCCACAACAGTGTGAGGGGCGCTAGGGTCCCCATGGGAGGTCCTGGTGGTTCTGGGGCTCTCACTGAGGGGTTTCAGGGTCCGGGGGGTGGGAGTCTCAGTTCATGGTTTAAAGAGGACTTCGTGGAGACTCCTGGGGTTTCAAAGGGCTAGAAGTCTGCTGGAGGTGGTTAGAGGACAGAGCGGTGGGAGTCTGGGAGTGGGCTTCTGGTTGGACAGTCTGTGCTCCTCCTAGAGGGTGCTCTGCCTCCCTCCATGGGGGGTCCCTTTCACACACCCTCAGTTGTTGGGGCTACTGAATTGGGGTCACAGGTCCAGAAGGAACAGAGAGAGTCCCAGCTGGGGGGAAACCCTGCAATGCTGGGGGCGCTGTCAGGATGGCTGTGGGAGGTCCTGTCCTGGAGCGGGGGAGTATGAGGCCACAGGGATGGCGGCTGTCCTATCTGGGACCCATGCAGAGAGTGATGGAGGGCCAGAGGGTTGGGAGTCCCAGAGCAGCCACAGGTTCCTGCCAGTGTCCCCCTGGAAGGCAGGTCTTTGGTGATGGTGTGGGGCAGCAGGGTCCTGGATGGGGTCAGGAGGAAGTGGGTGTAGGGACAGTCAGTGGGTGTAGGGACAGTCGGGAGACACGGTTGGAAGCAATGGCTGTAGCAGCCCAGAGATAGGTTCTAGCCTGCAGGAGGCTCCCAGACAGAGGGGACAGGATCTTAGGTGGAGGCTTCCAGGTCCTCCTTGGTCTCTAAGCCTCCAGGGCAGGAGGGGTCTGGAGAGACCCAAATCCTCATGGGGGTTAAGACGGGGAGGTGAGGTCTCGGGGCGGTGAGGTCCCGGACGCTTGCAGAATTGGAGGGGTGTTTCCCGCTTAGGAGGAAAGGCCTGGCTGAGGGTCCCCAGGGGTCTGGACGGGTGGGCGGGGGTTGAGGGGCTCCGAGGCCCGGGAGGGAGGGGCGTTTCGAAGGACCCGCGGGGCGAAGGGCCAGGACCAGGTGGGATCCGGGCGCTGGCTGGCCGGCGGGGCGCGCTCACGTACCCACGGTGGTGACCAGCGTGCTGGCGAAGAAGAGCGCCGAGGCGAAGTCCCAGGCGGGGTCCGAGGCGTTGGCGGGCCCCGACGCGTTGGCCAGCGCGGCGCGCCCCAGCCGTCCGGCCGCCAGCACTCGCTCCACGAAGGCGTCCAGGGCCGGGGCCGCCACGCACGGGCTGCGCCGCAGCAGCTGCTCCCGCAGCGTCCCCAACTCGGCTCGGAGCCGGGCTTCGTGCGGCGCCTCCAGCCGCGCCACCAGCAGCGCGCCCAGCACCAGGTACACGGCGTACGCGGCCAGGGCGCCCGCCAGGAGCGCGCCCCGCCGCATGGCGCCCTCCACCCGCCCCCGCACAGCCCCGGGCCGCCCGCTGACGTGGCCCCCGCCGCCGCCGCCGCCCGCCGCCTGGGTTCAGTTCCGGGAGTCCGACGCTGGGCCACTGATGCCCCAAGAGGAAGAGGAAAAAGGGGAGGAGCGGGGCTGGAGGAACGCCCAGCCTCCGGGAAACTGAGGCACGCCCAACTCCAGGTGTTCTGCAGGACACCGAGGGCGGAGCCCAGCGCTCCTGGCCAGGAGCCCGACAGGACCAGAGGGTGAGGAGATCGCGGTTCCCCAAACTGGAGAGAGTCAAACTCTCCTGGTGGATGGAACAGCCGCTCCCCAACTCCTCGGCGCCGCTGCGCGAGTCTGCTCAGGTTGTGCACTGCATCAAAGAGCGTGGCTAGGCTCAGGGGCAGACTGAAATCCATTTCTCACCCTACTCGCCAAGTCTTGCGCCCTAGATGGGATGGCCACCACCCTGTAGGAACGTCTAGTTCACAAAGGCAGACATGATAGGGTCAGGTGTCCCCTGTGCCCTCCTGGACAGAGTGAGGATCCTAACCCATTCACCACATCTTTGCTCAGATCGCACTTTGTTCTGGGTAGTACTGAGAACAAAGCAGTCTTGGACCCTGCCCTCATTGGGTTCCCAGTATATTAGGGGAAACTGACAGATCAGTAGAGTGACAGCCCAGGGTGACAGGTCCCGCAGCCCATGGGAAGCACAGGCAAGATTATCAGGGGTAGGATGTAGGAAGCCAGAGGAAGCCATGACCCAGCTTAGGGAGGTCAAGAGAGTGACCTGAAGAAGGGGGTCATCCTAGCTGAGACACGAAGAGTGACTAGGAGTGAGACAGGGTCTTTGTGAGCCAGACTCAAAAATATTGCATGAAGCCCTGAGTTCAATCCCAGAACTGAAAAAAAAAAAGAGGCCGGTAGGGTTGTGGCTCAGTGGTAGAGCACTGGCCTAGCTGTGCGAGGCCCTGGGTTCCATTCTCAGCACCACATAAAAATAAATAAATAAAATAAAAGTATTGTGTCCAGCTATAATATATATAAGAAAGGAAGCAAAGAAGAGAAAAAACAGCCAGGTGACTGCAAAGGCTGAGGCAGGAGAATTCCAAGTTCAAGGCCAGTCTTTGCAATTTAACAAGACCCTCATCAAGTTAGGGAGACCCTGTCTCTAAATAAAAAGAGCAGGGGATGTGGCTCAGTGGTAAAGTGCCCCTGGGTTCAATCCCCAGTGCCCCACCACAAAAAGATAGACAGGAATCATAAATATATACCTGGGAGGGAGGGCTGGGTGGAGCTCAGTGGTACAGCACATCCTAGCGTGAGCAAGGCCCTGGGTTCGATCCCTGTAACAACAACAACATCATCAACAACATTCCTTCAGTGTCCTTCCTGAGGGTCTCCCTACATCCCTTTGCAGCCAGAAATGAGTACCTCCTGGCAGCCTTCTGGGAGGCAGCCCAGAATCCCAACCCCATCTTACCACAGAGGAGTAGGGCTCCGGGCCAGACCAGACCCAGCCAGCTGGTTCTATTTATAAAAACCATGGCAATTCTTGGGACAGAGGCCAATTTTGGGTTGAAAATCCACAGGAAGAGATACCTGTTAATCAAGATAGCAATGAACTGGGTCAGGCACTGTGGAGCATGCTTGTAATCTCATGAGTTAGGATGCTGAGGCAGGAGGATCACAAGTTCAAGGCCAGCCTCTGCAACTTAGCAAGACCCTGTCTCAAAAAAGGATGTATGTGTGATGATGTAGTTCAGTGGTAAAGCAGCCTGGAGTCCATCCCCAGTAACCCCCGAAAAATAATGATCTGGGTGTGCCACCCAGAGACTCAATACCCAGTATCCCCACCACCAAAAAAAAAAAAAAAACTCCAAGAAGTAATATAGAGTGATTTAAGGGGCTGGGTGTAGTGCAATGATAGAGTGCTTGCCACTTTCTAGCATGTATGAAGCCCTGACTTTGATCTTTGGCACTACATATTAATAATAATAATAATAATAATAATAACTATTATTATTATTATTTAGAGTATACAGGAGGTGTCTCAGGAGGATGAGGAAGGAGGACTGCAAGCTCAAGGCTGGCCTGGGTAGTGAGACCCTGTCTCAAAAATAAAAATTAAAAAGGGCTGTGTGGCTCAGTGGTAGAGCACCCTGGATTCAATCCCCAACACAACACAAAAGAATAGAAACAAAGTATACAGGACTATGTTTACACAAAAACTACTCCCCCCCCGCCCCGGGGATTGAACCCAGGAGCGCTTAACCTCTGCGGCACATCCCCAGAGTTTTTTTATATTTTATTTAGAGACAGGGTTTTGCTGAGTTGCTTAGGGCCTCACTAAATTGCTGTGGCTGGCTTTGAACTCTCAATCCTCCTGCCTCAGCCTCCGATCGCTGGGATTACAGACGTAATTTACCTTGTTTTACATAAAGGGCTGGAGTGTTTGAGCATTCTGGTAGCTACAGGGTCCCGAAACTAATCCTCCACAGATATCGAAGGATGACTATAGTCACAAGAGGCCAATAGGAAGCCAAAATACTTTATTAATAATAATTAAAAATAGTCGAGAAGAGATCAATCTTGCCGGGTGAGTGGTGCCCACCGGGTGAGTGGTGCCCAGTGGCTAGGGAGGCTGAGGCAGGAGGATCGCTAGTTCAAAGCCAGCCGCAGCCCTTGAGCGAGGCCTTAAGTAACTTGGCGAGTCCCTGTTTCTAAATAAAATCCAACAAAAGAGATGGGCGTGTGGCTAGTGGTTTAGGTGCCCCTGGGCTCAATCCTCGTGCTCCCCCCATCCCCCAAAAAGAGATGGATCTCGACGCAACAGGAAGGGCTGAGGCTGAGGAGAAAACGACGGTGAAGCCGAAGGGGCAGATTCTAAACCCGAGGTGAGAAGAGAAATGGGACATCTCATACAGAAGGACCTCAGTGCAGCCTGGACTCGTTATTGAGAAGCTTAGGGGCAGCCTTTCAAGGTCCCCAGAAAAGACCCACATCTCCGAGGAGGAAGGGGAAGCCACAATGATAGGGTCCCCAGCTGACATCCTTCCGGAGCGCTATCACTGCCCAGATGTCACCCCCACCGTTGTCTTTGCCGGAGATAAGTGGAAGTTAGAGAGCCTCTTTGGTTTTAGAGAAAACCTAGTTGAGAGAACATTTTAATAAATTTCTGGGAAACTGCCTAAAGCTGTCTTCCAAGAAAGACACCGGTTCTTCTCACCTAACCTGTTGGGTGTCTTCTTCCTACTCTAAATATTCACTATAATACTTAAAGAGTGCCCAAACGGTACAAGCTTCAGAGCTCGCACAACTCCGATCAGCCCCTCGGAAACACAAGTGCACCTCTTCTCCGCTTCTTCACACCCTTCGCTGACTCCGGGTGCTCTCAGCTATCCAAGAAAGTCCCAAGCGGCAGAGAACTCCATTTCCCATCGTCCTCTTCGCTCAACACGTGACACCTACATTTCCCGTCATGCCCAACAACGCCTACTCCTAGGATTGTTCCCGGCCCCGCCTCCCTAACGCTCAGGTTCCGCCCCTCGCCTTTCGCCGGAGAGCCCCAGTTCCCGCCTCTTACGTAAACCCCAGCCCACTCGTCCACGCCTCCGTGAGAGAGAGGGGGCGCGGCCATCTGAGCAATCTTGAAGCCCATTGGCTGTCGTGTCACCGCTGGGGCGTGGCTACGGGAGCCGGGCGGCCACGTTACGAACCGCGGCTGAGGTGGCGGCGGCAAAGGATGAACCCGGCAGGCTTGGCGGCGGCGGCGGGGACGCCCCGGCTGCGTAAGTGGCGTACGTGGCTGACCGAGGAGTTCTGGCGGGCGGGGGCGTGGCGGGGCCGCGGCGGCGGTTGGAGAGGTCACTGCAGGTCGGAGGTCACGAGATTGAGGATCTGGAATTTGGAGGTGTGCACAGCTCAGGGATGCCAGGTCCGGGTAGGGGGCGCCTTGTGGGTAGATTCTTTAGGAAACTGCTGTGGACGAAAACGACTTGGAGTAGGATATTGTGTGTTGTGCGGAGAAACGCGACTTTCATTCATTTGGAGTTAGCGGTCTGCCTTCCCCTGCTCCCCACCCTTCCGTGGCTCCCCAGTGCCCACGAGCTGTCGCCCGTGCTTCTTACTACGGCCTTCAGGGCCCTCCGTGAGAGGATCATGTTCACGCTCATTTAAAATTGAACTTGTACTGATTGTACTATTAATCTCCTTTTTTCCCACCGTTGAATTTGTATCTCTCAATTCCTCTTCATCTCCATATGAGCGCAGTGCGTTTCATTTCTTCATTCAGCATACCTTGCCTAAGCTCCCCCGTGCCAGACCCTATGCTGGAATTTGGGTACTCAAAAGTAGGTCTGAGGACTCTGGTCCTTGCTGTCTTAACAGCTCAGAATTCAGTGGAAAGGCAGACACACTAAAAAGCAAACGAAGCAACAAGATAATTTGGGGAGTAAAAAGAGCTATAAAGAGAATAATCCTCGGGCTGGGGTTGTGGTGCAGTGGTACAGCCAGCACTTGCCTCGAATGTGTGAGGCACTGGGTTCCATTCTCAGCACCACATATAAATAAAAAATAAAGGTCCATCAATAACAAAAATGAGGGCTGGGGATATAGCTCAGTTGGTAGAGTGCTTGCCTTGCATGCACAAGGCCCTGGGTTCAGTCCCCAGCAACACACACACACACACACTCACACACACACAAATATATATCTAAAGTGAATAAAATAAATAAAATTGAAAAAAAAAAAGAATAATTTGCCCCAGGCACACCTTTAATCCCTGTACCTATAATTGTAATGAGGACAGAGTCAGGAAGATTGAAAAATGAAGGCCAACCTGGACACCTTAACAAGCCCTGTCTCAAAATAAAATTTAACAAGAAGGGTTGGAGATGTAGATCAGTGCTCTAGGCCCCAAGTTTAATCCCTAGTACTGGGGTTGGGGGGTATATAGTCCAGGATGTGACTCTTGGGGGAGAGGGCAGTGTCTCTTCACCTCTTCAACCTTTGGTAAGTTCCTGGCTGGCCCTGTGGTGTGAGATGCAGGAGATAACGCCAGTGTCCAGAGAGCACTTGTTCCTGCCCTCAT